CAAATAATGAGGCAGAGTATGAAGCGTTGTTGAAGGGCATGCAGCTATTGGCGGGCGCAGGAGCCAGAAGAGTTGTTATTCACTCAGATTCTCAATTGGTGGTGGAGTAGATGAAGGGTGAATACGAAGCTAAAGAAGATAGGATGTTGAAGTATGCGGAGGAAGCACGAGCAATGGCCAAGGGTTTCGAGTCTTGGGAACTTGTGCAGATACCAAGGGAGAATAATGGGCAAGCTGATTTGTTGTCTAAAGTGGCAGCCTCACTAGTGGATTGCAAGTCACGCTCAGTAACTCTGTTGCAAATGGGGTCTAGCATTTTGGAAGGAGATATGGAAATAGAGGAAAAGGAAGATTGGAGAAGCCTCATACGGCATTGGCTGACGCAAGCAGAGTTGGGACAACGGGATGTCCGGGGCGACAAATTAGGTCGAAGGGCCTTGAGATTTTTCATCCAACAGGAAGTGCTGTTCAAGAGATCATATTTGGGGCCACATCTGAGGTGTGTCTCAGAGGAAGAGGGTGATTACGTGCTCAGGGAAATCCATGAGGGTTGTTGCGGAGATCACATTAAGGCTCGGGCCTTGGTGGGTAAGGCGCTAAGAGCTGGATACTTTTGGCCAACCATGAGAGCTATGGCAAGGGAGTTAGTCCAGAAATGCGTGAAATGTCAGCAGCATGGACAACTCGTCCATGTACCAACGGAGGAGTTAACGCCGATGAGCTCACCCCTGCCGTTTGCTCAATGGGGGATGGATATAGTAGGGCCTTTCCCACAAGGCTCCGGTCAGAGGAAGTTTTTGCTGGTTTTGGTGGACTACTTCAGCAAATGGGTGGAGGTGGAGGTGGAGGCAATGGCCAGAATCACTGATAAGAAGGTCATCAAATTCTTGTTTACTAACGTCTGTTGCAGGTATGACATCCCGCGGGTTCTAGTTTCTGATAACGGCCCGCAATTCAGGGGAAGGAAAATAATGGCTTGGTGTGAAGAGATGGACATTAAGTAGCATTTTGCATCCACAAGCAAACGGGCAGGCCGAGGTGGCCAACATGACCATATTAAGAGGGTTGCAGACCAGGCTTGACAAAGCTTCTGATGCATGGGTGGATGAGCTCGACACAGTGCTTTGGGCGTACCGAACTACGCCAAGGTCCACGACAGGAGAAACGCCCTTCAGCATGGTGTATGGGATGGAGGCCGTGATCCCGGTGGAAATCGGCCATGGATCCCAGAGGATAACCACTTTTGAGTCAGTTCAAACCTTAGCAAAGTCAATTTCACAAGCGTCTCGTTTCGTTTGACAACTCTAAATTTTCACCAAGTTAAAA